ACACACACACACACACACACACACACACACACACACACACACACACACACACACACCCCTACATACGCAGTAACTACCATCACCCAACAATTGTTTCACCGCTCTTCCTTAGAAGTTAGAAGCTACAACTCCCCATTCATGCGGCAAGGGATGAAGCTCCTTCTTTCTAGAAGAAATGTTAACAATTTTATTTCAGATCAAAGGAGGGCCACCTTCCACTCTTGCTGGATGAGATCTACTCTGTAATCTTTGGTTAAGCTTTGTGATGCATGGCCAAAAAAGGGGGCAACAGTAGCTGAGGCAGGCCTCAGGATCTGACTGTGTTTTGAAACACGTAGTTTGTTTTTTGTATTATAAACCGAGCAGGCACTGTGTGCTGTGTGCCTACCCACCCTTCCCCAGCACTGAACTCCTCCACTCCCATTTTGTGAGCCGCCCCATGTTCACTTCTTTCCTTCTATCCCCTAGTATCTCCTTCTCCACAGAGGCAAGAAAGTGCAAAAAGGATGAGCTCTAACACCTCAGCCGGCCCTGGACGTAGATGTGGAGACTGGAGTCAGGGGAGGGGGCGTGGAGGGGCATCTCTTGAACTTTTTCTTTTTAAACTGAAACACTAGTCTGGTCTTGGAGTTTCTGATAATTATTTCCCCTTTGGTAGATGCCAGCTCTGTGAATTAAGTGGGATAAGGTATGTGGAAGTGCTTTACAGATATGTAACATGTTGTTACAGTTGCCTCCTTTGTGAAGTAAAATTTATCCTTTCAAAGTAATTGTGTGCAGGGGATGTGGCTGGTTCAGTGAAAACTCTCGATTATGAAATATTCCTCAGTAAGTCAAATTTAACTGTTTATATATATATGGTGACTCAAATCAGGGTAACAGAAATAGAATTTATTAGATAGCCTGTTTTATGAATATATAAGAATGTGCTGTCATTGGTATTTCAATTGTGACTTTTTTGGTCATGATCATTTCTAATGTTTTAGAAAAACCTGTATTCTGGCAAATTCATACTTCTTATTCTGCTCTTTGTCTAGACTATTATTTTACCTCCAAACCCCACTTTTCCGTGTATAAAAATGCCTAATTACCAAATAGCCCTTATTGGAATTATAATAAATTCTGAACATCAGAGCTACCGTTGGGAAAGGCTCCTATGAGCCGGCCACATCTCAAGCACTTACCTGGGAAACCCCATATTAATCCTTACAAAAACCCTGTGCCAGAGGAATAGTATCCCTTTTTCATAGTATCCTTTTTTTAAAAAAATAGATTTTTAAAAATTGAGTCTTTGAAAGATTACATATTTTCCCAAGAATAATCATTGTAAAGGCAGGATTTGAACTTGGGTTTGGCTGACTGCTAAACCACTTCCCTGAGTGAGGTTCAAGTTAAAGAATGTTCTTCTTCTAGTGCGAAATGGCATGAGAAAGGTAAGGTTCGCAGTTAAATAAAGTACAGGGGACAGTCCTTGTAGAATCTATGGACCAAGGAAGTTCTGACAGCACAGAACAAGAATTTTAAGAATTTTTTTTCTTTTAAAACCTGTAAGGCGTATTGCACATACCAAAAGGTGAGTAAAACATACTTACAGGTCTGAAATGCTACCAGCAAGCATCAGTATAGCCCTGGTAGTTTACAGCTGGTAGCCCTTGTGATTGGTTAGACCCAAGCCAAGAAGTTGTTAAATATTTTGAACACTTCCTGAAGGAATTTGTGAGATGAGTATTTCTACATGTTGGGCTCCCCCTTTCTCATAATTCTTACTCCTCCCAACCTCCGGGTCCTTCCTTCATGGATGTTTTGTGGGTTGATGCTCCCTGAACCGTGAACCTCAGGACAGTTGTCAAATGCACTACCAGGGTGCAGCGGGCTCGATGGGAACCCTTGGATCGCACCCCAGACACTGCCACTTGCTGAGCTCCTCTGTCACCTATTTTAGACTTGCATCCACCTCCTTTCATAAAAAATATAAGACATCACCTCTAGTTACCCACAGAGCATTGACTTCCCCTGGACCTATTAGCGCCCGACCCTGTTAGCATACCTCGGGTGCTCTGTGTCTGTAGTTACTGAAAGCCAGGGCCCAGCGTTTTCCTTAATTGGTGCTCAGCCTGAGTGAGGAAGAGGGTTTTGATGGAGGGTTTTGATGGCTTCGCCGGGGAATTGTGAGGTGTGTTCAATGTCCACATCTTAGCTCAGCTCCATAACCTTACAGGTAGAAAGGGAAGGAAAAATTAAGATGTTTTAGTGTCCAGATCCTCTGCTGAGAACTACATCATTTCAGACCTTGACTAATAAAGACGCTACCCTGTATTGACTCCCATCCTCTCAGCAGAGATTTTCCACACATGTCAGCACCTCTTCTCTTCCTCTAAGGAAATACAAGAAAGACAAAGATCATGATTCCTCATTCTTTACCCCATTCTACTCTACTTTTTTTCTTCCAGAAAGAAATGCCAACATTATAATTTGCCTATTATTCCATGGCATTCTATTTTCCCTTGGTTGATCTTATAAATTAGCCAATCAGAACGGGACTGGTGGAGCCTCACGAACACAGGGGCACATATGTGGCTTTGTAGTAAGACACGTATTCACCCCGTCTGGTGGTCACTTATCCTCTGGGATCCAAGCTTATCTTGATCAAGAAGGATGGAACAAGTAATAAGGAATATGAATTGTAAATAATAGAAATGGCAGAAGTCGTGTGTTTTCTTTCTTTTTCCCAAAAACAAATGAAATGAAATGAAAAATCACTCATATGTGTAACCCACTCTAGGATTATATAACCTTCCCTGGGTATGGAACTTGGTCCTACACCCTAAAGCATTTAATTTCTCGTGTTCTAGCCTCATGATATAAGCAGAGAAAGAACCAGTAAGTTTTTCACTGAAGTGAAATTGGTATCCTCAGGGAAGTCCCCAGTAGAAGGTGTTCTTTTGTTCCCAGCAAAAGTCATTTTGCTCCTTTCTGCCTGAGGGCTTTTGTACCTGCTGTTTCCTCTACTTGGAACTCTCTCTCCCCAATCTTTCTATGTCCCTATGACCTCCCTCCCTTTCTTCTTTTATATCATAGCTCAGATGTCACTTCCCCAGACAGGCTCCCCTAAACTTCACACAGTGTCTCCTCAGCCCGTTCCCAGCTTTGCTATGGCCCTTTCACTGCCTGAAACTCTTTACTTATCTGTCTCCCCTCTTCAGTATAAGCTCCATACTGGAGTTGGATCGACTCATTCAAGGTTGTGTTCCTAACACCCTGTACAAAGTAGCCTCTCAATAAAATATTGATTGAGTACATGAATGACTGAATGCGACTTCACAAGCCAAGAACCTGTGACTACTTTGGTGGCTGGATAACTTTCTACTGCTACTGTCTGGGAAATTTGAAGAGAAGATGTGAGGAGAAAGTTGGTCTAGAGACCCACCAGGCCAAAATTAGGTTTGCCCATTGGCAAGGTTTATAGGCAAAGTCGAGCTCCCAGAATTGCAATGAGACACAAGTAAGAACAAATCAGAGTGAAAGAGGGAGGGAAGAAGGAAGGAAGGAAGGAAGGAAGGAAAGGAGGGAGGGAGGGAAGGAGAAAGCAAACACAGGGAGTTTAAGTTCAAGGCAGTTAGGATGGAAAAGAGGCCTTTGAGAGAGATTTCAGTGATCAATAGAGTTCCATTTGCTAATAAGGAGGTTGAGGAAGGGAAAGACATTTCCCAACTCTTTCGAATCAAGCCCTTATTTTACCACTGTGTTTTTTTTTTAATTTTTCCATTATGAATTATGATCATTTTTATAATTGAAAAGATGATGGATCTGAAGATTTAGGA